GTACCGTCTGCGCCTCCGCAGACCACCGTCTCCCCTCCTCCCCCGCCGCAACTACCGACGCGTCGAGCCATTCGCTCAGCCCGTTGCAGCGAGCAGCTTGCTACTCGCGAGGAYGTTGYGTCCTCTCKTCTGGACTTGAGCATGCTCCAGGCTCGTCAGGAGCGACTCACCCTCCATGTCRCTGCACTGCGTCGCCTTCTCGCCATCCTCTCTGACCCTGATCGCACCCTCCCGATCATCCCCGTACGACTCGGGACCTCCACGAGGGTGTACTCAGCGCTGTGGGATTCCGGTTYTYAGGGCGACTTCATTCACCCACGCGTGGTGAAGGAAGCCCGCTTACCCACGACAGGGTCTCCGACTCCCATCTCCGTTACCCTAGGGGATGACAAGACSTAGCGCTTCTTCGATCAGACGGTCACCGACCTCCCCTTCTTCCTCACTCTCGAGCCGACTGAGCGTTCCCCGGCGTCTCGTCGCCACCGCTCCTCTGCACATTTCGATGTGATGGAGACGGGGTACGACTTCATTCTCGGCACTCCGTGGTCTCGTCGGTTCCGCAGCACCTTTCATAGGTACCACAGCGACACCACGCCCCGATCCTCCTCCCCCGGAGCCTTCAGTGCCCACACCATCTCCCTCTATCATTGTCACCTCGCCTCGACAGTTCGCTCACTTCATTCGACAGGACGACGTCACCTTCTTTATGGTGGACGTGACGGRTCTCTTACACTATGATCCACCCTGTCCCGACGCCGAGCTCATCCCTCTGGAGCCAGATCCTCCCTCTATCTCCATGGCTCCCATCTCTACTTCCATCCCTCCGCCATCATCGAGTCCACCCCGCCGTCGCGCGCTGACGCTGACGCTGAGGAACTTGCACGATATACGACTGACTTGGAGCCCGCAGTTCGTGACGTCATCCGAGAGTACCACGACGTTTTCCCATTGTCGTTCTCGTACGCCGGCATCCCACCGATGCGTGACGTCGAGCACTCCATTCAGCTCGTGCCTGAMTATCGTGTTCACCACCAGGCACCCTACAGACTCTCGATCCCCGAGGCCACCGAACTCAAGCGTCAGCTTGAGGAGCTCCTGAGACTGGGTTTCATTAAACCCAGCAACTCCCCGTGGGGTGCACCCGTCCTCTTTGCTCGCAAAGCGGATGAAACTCTTCGTCTCTGCATCGACTACCGCGGCCTCAACCGCTACACGGTTAAGAACAACTACCCCATGCCTCGTTCCGATGAGCTGTTCGACCGCCTTGCCGGCAACCGCTTCTTTACGACGATTGATCTTCGTAGCGGTTACCATCAGATCCGCGTCGCTGCAGCCGACCAGCCAAAAACCGCGTTCCGATCACGATTCGGCCACTACGAGTTCACGGTGATGCCATTCGGCCTCAGCAACGCACCTGCTACCTTCCAGAGGGCGATGAACGACATCTTCAGGGACATCTTGGAGCAGTACGTTCTCATCTACCTCGACGATATCCTGGTCTATAGTCGTACCCTTGAGGAACACCTCAGACACCTCCGCGACGTCCTTGACCGCTTGCGCAGACATGGCTTCTACGCCAAGCTAAGCAAGTGCCGCTTTGCCCAACACAAAGTGAATTTCTTAGGACACTACGTGTCTGACCAGAGTCTCCACATGGACGACGCGAAGATCACTGCTATTGCGGAGTGGCCCGCTCCCACATCCGCCAAGCAGCTTCGCAGCTTCCTAGGTCTGACCAGCTACTATAGTAACTTCATCCGGGGATACACTAGGTATTCCTACGTCCTTACCTCCACCCTCCTCCGGAAGAACCCACCCTGGGCTTGGACACCCCTCCACGAGGACGCCCTCAAGAAGGCGGTGACATGCGCACCGGTTCTTCACCTACTCGATTCCCTTTTATCCTTACCACCGATGCGTCAGACTTCGCTGTAGGAGCAGTGCTTTCTCAGGTCTTCCCCTCATCTCCTGATTCCTCTCATCCTCGCATCCCTCGCTTCCCACCACCTACCCCTACCACTGCTTCTCGACTGACGCCTACTCGTCCAGCTACTGACGAGCCCTCTATTGACTATTCTCCTACCATCGCCGAGGACGACACTGTCGAGTCTCGCTTAGGTGATTGTCCGATAGCCTTCTACTCCCGTCATCTTCTGCCCGCCGAGATAAACTACACTGCTGATGAACGTGAGGTTCTCGCAGTAGTTTATGCCGCTCGGCACTGGCGTCACTACCTGCACGGGGCACCATTCACGGTGCGCACGGACAACTCTGTTGTCCAGGCTTTTCTGACAAAGCCGAAGCTCACTCCTCGACAGGCTCGCTGGTGGCGCGACCTATCCGAGTTTAGTTTCACCACTGAGCATATCAAGGGTGAGACTAATCGGGT